TATCACCCGTTTCCCCTTCTCATTGGGGTGATAAGAATGGTATCTATCCCAGACCATCCTGAGGAAGAAGATGAGGTGGGACGTGGAGTGGGTTCCTTTTCGGGATTTTTTGTCTTTGATGTCGAAGGTTGTGTTGAAGTGTATGTTCTGCAAATACACCACATAGGTAAATCGTCATACAATTTAACAGAACTTACTTCCTCGGGCGAGTACATTTATTATAAAAGGACATTTTCTCATAATACACCCAGTTGGTGTCATCGCCTTCCGAACCTGAGGGCTTTAATCGTTTTTCTCTTGTAAATCGATCCCTAAGGTTCTTCCATAATTTCATACATTCCTCCACTAAAACGCAATGAAAATGTAGATACTTTATAAATGTATGTAGGTACTTACCACTTAAGTGGCTATTTCGGAGATTTCAAGCCATGCTTGCTCTTTCTTTTTTGTGTTTTTATAGCCATACAGGAACTCGTACTGTTGGACGAGATCTATAAGTAGACCAACCACGTCAACGTTTTCTGCATAAAAAGTACAAATTAGAATGCCATTCATCTAATATAGACAAAACATTACCTAAAACTTCCTCCGAATCTTGGTGCATGATGAACCAAACCGAACTTCGCACTGAACTAATGATAAATGATAGTTCTTTTTACCTAGGTGGGAGTAGATCAAAGAGACAATTTTATAAGCGCTGCTATTGGTTGAATGTCGAACGACAGCGGCGAAAGTTAAAAGTTGGTTATGTATCGAACTGCACGAACTTTCGCGAGAACGGCAACGCTAACGTCAACGTATTTTATAAATAGAACCCCATACTTCGCCTGTTTTAACCTCAAACGGCGAACGGCAACGGGAACTGCAACGGTAACCTCAAGTTTATAAATCCACCTTAAGTACGTGTTGCGCAACACGTACTTACTGTGTAAACTTGTGTGTTTTTCGACTACAGGGAGATCAATAATCATATGCTGCGCCGCTCTTATAAAATATCACATTAGTAATCATTTGCCGCAACCAGGTATATGTGTACCAATACAAAACATAACCTATAATTTTACAAACCAAAACCATGATTTGTGATTCTTATTCGAATACTTTCGTCCCTTTCAAAACGGCTTTTTTCAAGACTACCAGTTTCTTTCGAATATTTACAAGGTGGGTAAATTACTTGTAAATTACAAACAAACGTTTTTTTAGTTGTAGCGTGTAATAGGCAATAGGTTTACTCCGACAAGCCTTTTACTTTAGAAGAGAATAAGATCGTTTGCTGTCCTGTTTCCGTAATGGGACTAAAGACGAAAGTGGAGTTTGGGAGTACTCGATACGTTTGTGTATACAGGAGTTTCGATAAACGATTGTCAACCATGACGAGGATTACAACAATATACGCCGAAATGCTTATCGTCTACTTGAGCGGTTTAACATACAGGAAGTCTTGCTTCTGGGAAGTCACCTGGCCGCTTAGTGATTGCTAATAAGGAGGTTGTAAAAGATGTTCTTGCTCGTCTTGAGCAAAGTCGGAAAAAGCAGCTGCGACAATTTGTCCCACTAACGGGCATCTCATACGGAACGTGTGACGCTATTGCCTGGAGAAAATTGTACTTCTATCCTTTAAAGTAACCGTGTTACAAGAACTCATCGTCCAGACTTGCAAAGCCGTCTAAATTATTGCATGCAAATTTACGAGATGGCAACGTATTCGAAATCGTTTACACACCATTGCCGAATTCCGAGCAGGTATAGAAGTTGCCGTTTGAAACATTACGCAACAGCACCATGCCGGCTTCAAAAACACGAAGAAAAGAGTGAATCCCTGTCTTAATAATGGTGGCGAGCACTTCGAACAGTTGTTATAGTGTGCATGTAATTTACCCAATTACTTCGATATTAACGAGTTAACGAGTAAAAGAAATAAAATCGTTTCAATTTTTATAGTAATTCGTTATTCGTGTAGTTCCACATAATTTGGAAACTTACAAGGTGGTTAAATCGTTGATTTAGGTTAAATATGGTTAAACGTCAAAAGTTTACTTTAAGGTTATGTTTTAGTATTGGTGCACCAGGCCTGTTGCGGCAAATGATTACTAACGTCATAATTTATTGAAGCGGCGCAGCAACTCAATATTGATCGCACTGTATTCCCACCTTTATATTACATACTTTTGCAAAAATAGCCAAACATGTTCAGCTTAACATGGATATTTTGCTGAAAGAGCGTGGAACTATTTAAAACCAATATCCACCGTTCGTTGAGGCGTTTCAAGTTTATACTGAACTTTATCAATTACCACATACGATGCTTTTATGTCTTCCAAAGACCCTACGATTACAACTGATGGCTGCAGAGTTTCGTTGATAGATAATAATTTCTCCCTACGTCCTTCCAATTGCTCCGAAAATTTGCTTATATCCTGAATGAACAAATATCATTTCTAGGTGCAACATTAAAAATTAAAAAAACTTACATCAATTAAACAGCAGCAGGCATGTTGAATTTCAATTTTAGAGGGCTTATACCTCGCGCCAACCTTTTCACTTTTAATTGGGCACGGGGGTATTAACAGCGGCAACAAAAGTAAGGCAAATATTTCTTTCAGATCTAAAAAGAAATGCTATATATACCTAATAACAATGCCTATGGAGTGCCTAAATGAAATGCAATAAGAAAAAAAATCTTCATTGAAAACCCAGCTAGCGCAAAGCACCTGAATTTTAAATATTTTTAAACAAATTTCCCATTTTGACGGAATTTTACTACTATAGTGAAAAATTTGTTAGGAAAAATCACATTTAAATATCAAATACGTAATTTTCGTTTATAACTTTGTTAATTTTGCTTCTACGACTAAAAGTTACTGGACCAAAGTTGTAGAGAATCTCTGAATAAATTTTTTGTGAGATCAATAGTTTGTCAGATAAACCATAAAACCCATTTGCACCACTTTTTCCAAGATGGCGGCCGCGGGACAAGAGCTGCAACCCCACAAACTCGGATTTAACTTTAGACCAACCCCCCCTTGATATCTAAAAAAGAAAATTGCGTCCTCTGATAAACGCAACCCCAAATGTAACTTTTCAATGGACTAAAACTTTAACACGGAGAATGCTTCGTGATTAACGTCAAACACTTATGACTACACATATTATGTACCGTTCGTGGCATTTTTTTTTTATTAAATACTTGTCATACAAAAACTAAAACAAAAACAAGGAACTACAATAATTAATTAAACGGTCGACCGTGTTTCAACAGCAGACCTATCATCCATCGAACAACGAATGTTATAGGTATGGATGTCCAAAATTGGACGGCAAATGAATATGTGATGGATAGTCGTATAAAAACATCCAAAAACGGATATACATATGGTGTCCATTAGACATCCATGGACGTGTAGTGCACTTTTTGGACATGAACCGCATATCCAATGGATATCATGCGTTGTCTGGGTATGCTTCCTTTTGTGTTTCCCCATAATCAAGGTAAGTACTAACAGAGACAGAATCAACGTTAGAATTACCGTAACTCGCACTTACCAAAATACCACTAATAAAACAGCAACTAGACCTAAAAACGCAGTAAAGTGAACAACGAGGCGCGCAAGCACCGATGTAAACGACAAGATGCACCAGAAACAAATGAGTTGACTGTTGAGGCAAAGCACGCGCGGGTCACGCAGGTACAGTTTTCACTTTACCTCTCTAAACATGGTGCACGGCACCAGGGGCGGACTACGTTTTAATCATGATAATATGTTCGGACTGAACGGGAGGATAATAGGTTTGAATGAGTAGGCTACGCGCCACTCGTGAATTAACATCTTTCGCTCAATGGTTAAAATATCGCTTTATCGTCTTATATAATAAATAACTACACAATCGTAAAGTGTAGAATGTTTAGGTGTATAGTTTAAAATACTTATTATCAATAAAAATTAGTTTAAGAGTCCAGTACGGAATAAGGTAAAATTAGCATTGTGTACCGTACAAGAGGGCTTCGATAACAAAGAATTTGATTGTAAGCGGACTGTAATTATGAATTACTTCCAAGGCCTTGTTTATGCTGGGAATGAAAGAATATAGACACATAAATAAACGTGTTTATTATCAAAAATACAAAGTAAATGAATTTCTATTGAACATGGTTGACGTAGGCACGACGGCTACTAGAATATGGTAAAGTTACGAAGGGATAATGTAAACAAAGGAACTTACGTGTTGTTTCGAAGTCCATTAACAACGAAGACGATGTTGCAATGGCGAAGATTGCTCATTCTACGAAGTTGTCGAATGTGTCGATTTTGTTACAACGAAATCTTCTAATTGATGTGCGGTGCTTTGACGTTCTGCTTGTTAATAACGATGTTGCGAACTGCACGGCGACATTTTGACCCGTTGGGGATCGATCGAGATCTATATGCGAACGACGAAGGCTAATCGGCCATTGGTTAACGGCAACTTCTCAACGTAGTTGAGTTGATGGCTTCTAAGCGAAGAATCCGACAAATTCTGCGCGACGAGTACACATATTGCGTTTCTGCGGCTCATGCGCGCACACGTAACAAATAGGAATATATACAGGCAAGGCAAAACGGTTATGTACAGGGTATTTTCATTAAAGGAAAAACGTAAGGATATTTTATTCTAGTTTGGGGACGCAACATACCGCCCACCAAATTCTAACTACGAATTTACTATAAAAATCAAACAAAGCAAATAAACGAAAATTATTGTGACGGCAAAGCGCACAATTTTACTAAAGGGCGTTTGAGAACCCCACGAATTGTACGAACGGAAGCAACTCTAACGACTCCATCCGAACCTGGAAAAAGATTGTCAATGCGACCAAGTCTCCACTTTAACGGAGGCGTGGTTTCATCTTTAATCAAAACTAATGTGCCAATGTCGGCCGGTACGAGATTTTTGTCAGTAGCCCAATGGCTTTTCTGATACAAAGTGTGCAAGTATTCTGTTTTCCAACGCGCCCAAAATGACTACTGCATGTGTTGCACCATTTGCCAACGAGCAAGACGCGAGGATTTCAAGTGGGATAAGTCTGGATCCGGAGGGGACGACAAAGGCTCCAAGGTTAAAAAATGACCAGGGGTCAAGCTAGCTAAATCATTAGGATCAGTACTAATGGGACATAAAGGTCTCGAATTAAGAATTGCTTCTATCTCTATAACTACAGTATTAAATTCCTCCAAAGTGAGGATTTGGTTCCCTACAACTCTAACTAAATGTCTTTTTACCGATTTGACGCCGCTTTCCCAAAGCCCACCAAAGTGCGGAGCAGAGGGAGGGTTAAAGGACCACGCGATAGCTTGGGATTCAACAGATTTTTTCATCAACCGATTAAATTCTCTATTCGCGCCGACGAAATTGGTACCACAATCGCTAAAAATTTGGACACAACGTCCACGACGAGCTATAAAGCGTCTAACTGACCCAATGAAGGCATCAGTAGATAACGACGAAACGACTTCTAAGTGCACAGCTTTGGTCGCGAAACACACAAAAATACACAAATACGACTTTAGGGTTTTTGCTCCACGAAATCTAGCTGCGGTGATAGTAAATGGCCCAGCAAAATCACAACCTACAACACTGAAGGCCTTAAGATGGCTTACCCGAAGGGAAGGTAAATGTGCCGAAGGAGGACAATAAGTAGTGGGGTTGACGCGAAAGCAACGATTGCAATCGGCCAGATAACGACGAATAGAACGACGAGCAGAAACGATCCAAAAATTTTGAAGAACCAAATACATCGTGGCGTTGATGCCAGTGTGATAGTTTTCTTGATGAGTATTACGAACTATAAGTTGAGTCAAGCGATGCGACTTTGGTAAAAGGGCAGGATGTTTGGATTCATAAGGCAACGACGAGTTTTCTAAGCGACCACCAACACGAATCAGGTTGTCACCGCCCACCATAGGGGATAATTTTGCTACCCAGCGAGGCAAATTCTTCGCAGAGCGTAGTTTGACGAAAATGTCTCCAAACACCTCTTCCTGTACAATTCTTACTATAAACAACAAGGCACTATGACGTTCCGATAATGACAAAGAACCTGAGCGAAGATCAGCAGGGTGTCTGACATTACGGACAAACCGTAAAATTAAAGCAACGATGGCTTGAATTTAGGTAGCGACGAACAATTTTTTAACAACGAGTGTACGAAATGATCTTGGCCTCCGATACATTGAATGAGGCAAGAAACTATGGGACGAGAACTAAACGAATCTTTCAACTCCAAATTGTGCGAAATGTTTATTGGCTCTGGAGGCCAGAAATTAGGTGATAAAGTCAAAAAATCAGGGCCTGACCACCACAAAGGATGCGAAAGTAGCTGACTTGGCAATAAGCCACGAGACGCTGAGTCAGCAGAATTTTTCTGAGAGGGTACATGACGCCAACATCCGGGAGGAATGCGTTCATGAATGTAAGCTATTCTATTGCTGACGAAAACTTTCCACTGCCTAGGTAACGAACGAATCCAACTGAGGACAATTGTAGAATCAGTCCAAGCGAAAATTTTGTCAATAACGACAATATCACGAAAAGTGTCCAAAACGAATTTGACTAATTTAGCCAGGAGTGCTGCAGCGCAGAGTTCCAAACGAGGAATGGATAACTGCTTGAGGGGAGCTACTTTAGATTTTGCAATAACTAAACAAGTACAAGATTTACGATCGGAAAACGAAAAACTAAGGTAGACTACGGCGGCGTAGCCACGTTCAGACGCATCACAAAATCCATGCAATGTGCAAAGATACGAATCAGAACCAAAATCACCCCCCGGGGTCAACTCACGAGGGATACGAAGCGAAGAGAGTTGAGGTAATTCAACTTTAAATTGATTCCATTGCGAAACGATACAACTGGGAGGCTCTGCATCCCAACCAAGACCTAACAACCAAATCTGTTGGATGAGACACTTTGCGACGAAACTAATTGGTGCAAGGAATCCAAGAGGGTCATAAATACGAGCTAATTCCGAAAGAAGTGTGCGTTTTGAGCACGAAATGTCACGAGGATTGACAACAAAAGCGAAAGAATCAGAAGCCGAACGCCACTGAAGACCAAGGATTTTGACAGTGTCGGAAGATTCACTATCAAACGAAAGAGCTTGAGGCTGACGATGATCTAAAGGAATCGAATCTACACGATTGGATGCCCATTTGCGAAGCTCAAAGCAACCTAGGGCGAAGCGATTTACTAATTGTTCAACGAATTGAGAAACTAATGGAGTCAGATGACTAGAGTCCAACTTCAACAGAGGTTGGCCAACGAAACGATTTTCCAACGAACGAAAACGACGATTTGCAACTTCAAGAGAATTTTCGAAAGCAGGTTTCGAAATCTTGAATGGGAGGGCAACACCAAAACGACCAGATGGTTCCCTATACAACGAATTTCTAAAAATGGATTCCGCGCGATCATCCTCAGGAGTGATTGCAGCTGGTGCAGGCGGAACTTCTTCGACGTTCCAAAATTCCTCGACGACTTTATCTAGGGACGACAAAGGCGAGTGAACGGAAGAAGCCGAACTAAGCGACGAAAACAACGAAGTAACGGTTTGTTGAGGCCTGGCGCCATTGACCGGACCTAACACTACATGACCAAATATTGTACCCAACAAGAAAGGGTGTTCCAAATGTCTACATCTCCTATCTAGACCAGGGCTAGCGATTTGAGGGTAGATGTCTGCGCCCAGTAACATCTGAACTGAACGAGACCTGTGCCATTCATAATCCGCCAATCTAATTCTATCAGGCATGGGGACATCAGAACTGACATTATCATTTGGCAAGTTGCCACAAATTTTATCCAAAACGAAAAAATCTACTTTAAATGTGGGATCAGTACGATCACTGGGACGAATTTCTCCAGTAACTATAGACGATGATTTGGTTGCGACTTGCCCTAAACCACAGATGGGCACTGCATTGGTTAGCTTAGGCAAACGAAGTTTGTTTGCTAAGCTCGAACAAAGATAGGACGCTTGACTGCCCGGATCCAGCAAGGCCCGAACGATATGGTAACTACCGAAACGATCTCTAATCTTTAGAACTATGGTACCCAGTAAAACGGGAGGACGATCTGAATTGGAAGCCATGAAAGTGGCTGAGCAACGACTAGTGCAAGAGGTCAATTGGTTCGATCCATTTGATTCACTTGTAGATGGCGAAACGACAGGACTAGAAGGTCTATTCGAAAAATGCAAAAGTGTGTGATGACGAGCGTCACAAGTGCGGCAATTCCGCGAGGAGAGACAAGAAGCGACGACATGTCCACTAGCCAGACAATTTAGACAGATGCGATTACGTTTGGCGATTTCGTAACGATCTTGGGGTTGCTTTTCGTTGAAAGCAGGGCAACTAATTAGGCTATGGTTTCGAGAGCATAAGAGGCATTTGAGAGGAGGTTTTGAACGAGACTGCGACGACGAAGTTGCGACCAGAGAGGTCTTGCTAGAAGATTTGGTAAAAGTACCAGACGACGACAATGACAATTTTTGCGGTTTGCCAACCGATTCGAAACTACGAGGATTTTTGTTATTAGATGCAGTCACGTTCAACAAAAGTGGTGCCTGTAAGGCTTCTAACGACAAACAATGTTCGCTCAACAAAGGCTCTATGTCTGAAAATGTAGGAATTTTCTTTTTATCTAAACGAATTTCAATCTCTTTGCGCGTGGCAGAGTCGAGTTTGTGAATAATGACAATAAATAGGACAAAGTCCCAAGTGTCGGCAAGGTTCAACAATTTGAGAGCTTCACAGTTCTCACGAACAGTGTTCAATAATTTCCGCAAGCTCGAGGCGGATTCGACGGGTATAACCGGGATATTTTGGATTTCATTCCAATACAAAGTGGCTAACAATCGATCATTATTGTACCTATCTAACAAGGCTTGAAAGGCGATTTTATAATTGTCATCCGAAATGGGAATTGACTTAACTAAATTAAGAGGTTCGCCCGAAAGGCTACCTGCCAAAAGGTGAAATTTTTCCACATCTGCGTATGGTTTTTCGTCGACTAATTTAACAAATAAATCCCTAAAGTGGGGCCAATTACGAATGTTGCCATCGAATTTAGGCAAAGCTATTTTTTGCAAGCGATCTACGAAATGTTTTTGTTCCTCATCGACCGATTGCCGAAGAGGATTACTACTATTTGGTACACGCGAAATTGGGAATAATTCTAAATACACAGTTTTTATTTCTACATATTTAGCGAGAAAATCTACACCTACATCGATTTCTTGTTGCAAATTGTCAGGTTTATCTGCTAACAACGATACTATTTCTACTTGATTAAGGTCAAAGGTCTCTTTGCAAGATTCGACCTGTTGAAACCACGTATTAAACAAATTTTTAATCGATAAATCACCGCGCGCCTGTTGAGATAAGGCGTGGATGGTATTAAGCGTGGTTAACGAAATATTTCTAAAGGCTTGGAATTGTTTCAATTTGGCAGCCATTATAACGACAAAATAAAATGCAAATGCAACGATTTAATAAGGATAAATTCGTGTACAAAAGGTGCAATAGCGCGTGATAAAAAAGGGCAACGCTTGGAAAACCCAATAAGTACGATAACTAAGAGATAACAACGAAAGCAAATTTTA